CCCAGAATTGTCCCCGGTAGTAGTTTCGAATGGCACCTCAGAGGCATGCGGAGGGTCTTAGGGTTAGGGCTCCATTCGGCGTTAGGAAGACAACCCAACATGAAAGGGCATAAGGATGCTAATGGGGGGACATAGAAGGGCTTTCGGCAGGGAATCTTACATGCTGATGCTGGCTTTTGCCGCGGAGGCCGTCGACATGTACGCAGCAATCAAAATTGCCATCTCCACCGACCCCAGAGCAGCACCAAGACCACCACCACAACGGCAAGAACAACCACAACAAGCAACAACAACCAGTTACGTTCATCATCATTGTCATCATCACCACCATCACCACCACCATCAGAATCAGCAGCAGAAGTACGTGCAGCCGCTTTAGCACCATGATCCTGGCCCCTGTCCCCAGAAGAAGGCATCACACGCAGCGATGGTAAGCATAAGACTGAAGCAACTGGACTGCCGGCAAACAATACCTTGTGAAGGTTCAGGACGATGTTGGTGTTGATGATGCTGCTGATGATGGCAGCGAAGGGGCCGACACAACAATCCGTGACGTGGCACGGAAGCACAGAAACTTTTTTCCACAAGCGTCAGGCCGCACAGTGGTGTCCGCTATATGGGGAGCACCAACTGCACAGTTGCGATACCGGGAAGAAACTCTAGCAGACGTACTGTACAGGAAACTTCTGCGTTGCCCATGAACCGTCAGGTGCTTGTTTTCTGCTTACCTCAAGTGCTTTTCGGGAAGTAGTCGTAAGTCACCTCAGTTCCGGAAGTCCAGATGGACTCACCTGCAGGGATGAATTTGGAGGCTAGGCTACAGTGGGGCAATGAAGCCTCACGGAACTTAATCATCGCTTGGCCGAGAACCGATCTCCAAACCCTAGGTCCTACAGCCTAATCCTAAGATCCTTAAAACCTAAACCAAACAAAACCCCAACCCCCTAAGTAGGAGGACGCTCCACTGGCTCGCGACAGAAAGCTTCCCGGCATCCGTTCCTTCAAAAACCTAGTGTGTAGGACTTTAGATTTTGGGGTTTAGGTTGAGGGTCAACGGCTTTATGCTTTGACGTTTAGGGACAGGGTTAGGGTTTTGTTTCGAAGTTCCCACCCCTCTTGTTGATGATCTTGAGGTTGCCGCGCGTCTCCAGCAGGAGAGTATTCACTCCTTCTTCTTCCTGAGGGACGCAAAGCAAAAACACCCGAAGATTGAACCCCTCAACCTTGAACCCTAAACCCCAAACCGCAAAACCCTAAAACCGTACATCCTGAAGTGTAAACCTTGAATGCTAAACCTCAAACTCCAAACCCGAAACCTCGCCTCACCTAATTTAGGGGCCTTAATAATTAGAATAGGGTTTTGGGCTCCATTATACATTCATTACACTAAAAAATCCCCAAGATGGTATTGGCAATTATTGAGGCCCCTCTAGTACTCAACAGGGCCTTTGGGTAAACCCTACCTTAACCCCGAATAACCTACCTTTTTGGGGTTCCTTATTATGATATGTGTCTGCCCACCTCCAAGCCTTCCGAGCCGGGCTTGGGGCTCAGGGTTTAGGATTTAGGATTTCGGCGTTTAGGCTTAGGGTTTAAGCATTTTCTACCTGCAAAATGCCTGGTTTTCTGGGATCAGTTGCAGCTTCGGCTGGTCTGGGGTGCTGGGATGAGCCTTCGCTCCCCGCCTCCAGCGAAGTGTCAGCCTGGGTTCGTGTTAAAGGATTTAACTTAAGTTACCGTAGAAAGGAAACCATATTGTTTGTTACAAATCCTTCATATGGTCACTTACATTAACGTCCTTAACAAAAACCCAGCAGCTGTGCCGGTGGCGAAGGCAACAGCCCCATCGCAATAGAGGACAAGATTGCCATCCTCCTCAAGGATGTTGTTTTCTGGATCCAGGCGGTTTACGTTTCCGGAGAGAAACGGCAACACTCGCACCGCCCTTAATTAAACTAAGATATACTGCAGTTAGTGGTGGCTTGTGCAAGAAAAGGAACACAACGGTTCCGCAGTCAAACTGCACGCCTGCATCTTGAGCTGAATCTCCTTCGGTGCTGCATCACAGGATGTCCCAGTAGACCAGAGATCCTGCCCATGCGACCAATCTTTCAAGGCGACATTGCCACCCTCCTTGGCATCTGAGGGCTCAAACAAGAACACAACCCTCAAACAGAAAATCCCGAACCCTTCATTCGCAAGATCAAGACTGCCTCTCTGAAGGGCACTTCCAGCATTGAAGTACTCTCTTGGACCCCCATCTCCAAAAAAACCCAAAATCCTGATGCTTCCGCGGATATAGTTCCGACGCTCTTTCGGGATAGAATGTTCGGATTGGCTCTTGAAATCTCACTTTCGCCTGGTTGCAGACACGGAGAGTGTGAAGTCGTAGAAGGTCGTTTGCACGAGACGCATGCCAGGAAAGAGCACGTTTGGGCTGGTCATATTGCTCCTTCTGTAGGAGTGCATGGAACGGTTCAAGGTTTGGGGTTAGGAAGCCCTAAGCTCAAACCCCTACACCCCGAAACCTAAACGTCTGAGGGTTCAGGGGTCGACATCGAAAGCTCAGGAATGCTTGGGTGACGGGCATGCAGACATAAATACACTCGCACATTCGTATGCACACGCGTGTTTGCAAATGTAAATGTAAGTTAAGTATACAATATCCATGCGACTATGGTTATTGCGCATGCACCAACACACATAATCATATATATGTATATACAGATAGATGTATAGACTGAATAATGAATGAGTGAGTAGGTGAGTGAGTGTCGACCTCGGGTGCTCTCCGGCCCACGGAAACGGTCGGTCTAGCCGTCTGGGCTGGAATCAAGCCAGGCAGCTTGGGTTGGAACTGGACATTTGGCAAGACACCACTTCGGCGGAACAAAACTCTTCACTCGATGATCTTTCATCGAAGTACTCGGCTGGGGACACTGGAGACAGGGCATGGGGGGAAGTGGTCGAATAAACACGCACACATGCACAGCACCGGCAGCGAGGCTAAGGCCAAAAGCACCTTCGGCTGGCTGCAAATACTCGAGCAGTGTCCCTTTGACATGTGGGGCGATGCCTGATGCTGACGGCATCACCCCTCTATCTTTGTCTATCTATCTGACTATCTATCTATGTATCCATATAACATACATCTAGATATAGATGCATAATACATATACAGATACATGCATACATACATACATACATACATATGTATATATATATATATATTACGCACGAAATATTGCATATTACATGCTACATATTACGTGTGACATAATGAGTGCGCATTATGTACTACATACCAGAACGTATGTTTTACACTGTATACCATTTATGAAGTACTACATATGATGTACTGCCTAGACTATTTCGTGTAAACGATGATATACTAATGATGACTTATGTGCTGTCATATATATATATATAAATACAATACAATTATCCGTCTGGTGCGACAACTACAGATGGATACATATGTATATACATATATATATATATATATATAAGTATATTGTGTATAAAACTGCATTATTTGTATGTATATATTATGACGACTACTTATGTATGAATATACATGTACATGTACTTAAAGAATATTTTATATTAATTCACATACATCTTTCTTTGTACATGTATATAGCCAACTATTTATCTAGCTATGTGCTGATGGTTTTACTACGTTGATATTATGACCATTACTACCGTTAAAAGTAGGTACAGATCAATATCATACTACACTGTATCATACATATGGTGCCTCAGTCCCTTCTGCCCTTTTGTACCATGTTACATTCTTCTATACTCTACGACTGCAATTATCTCGTATCATATCATCTTTAATGATAGTATAACATATATATATACTCTAGGTACTCTATATACACTACATTCTGTACATACTCTATATGATCTGTATATATCTATATATACATATATATACATATAGCTAGACATCTGTGTGTATGTCCATATACACATCTACATACATGCAGACATAAATACATCTTCTTGCGGACGCAACGAAGAAAGGTCTTCGCCGAGCGTGTCAGAGCATATCGCGTTTTGCGATACGATGCCTCTTATGGGCAATGAGCCATGACAGAAGTGTCAATGGCTAGTGCACTACACTCTACTCGTAGTCTCATCTCCATCCTGGCATGCAACATACCAAATCAAATAAGTTTCTGCAGGAATAGCGGCAATCTCGGATGCTGTGCAGGCTCGAGCTGTGCATGAGTCGTCAAGAAGCAGCAGAGTATCGGCGCTTTTCCAGACACATATGTAGTGCCCCTGATCAACGGTCGCTCCCCGATGCAAAATCAGAGCTGCAGCCTTAAAGCGACGAGGATGGGCATCAAGATTGTGTGTATTGCAGAATTGTGGGATCTGGATGTCATCAAGGAGGCCAGTGATGGGTCTAAGGTCCTTGCCAACAGGTCGTCGGCGCTGGGTGTGCATTGCACGAGTTCGAAACCTGAGAAGCTGTATTCCAAGAGTATTGACAGCTTGATAAGGAGCAAGTGCATGAGTCTTGGACTGCTGATGCCAGGCCCGAACACAATCGGCCAAGCTGGTATGCCCCTGAATTGGCAGGGGGAGTGCATGATGCAGGCTTCCCTCATCGTGCAGCTGCAGACCGTGGCCTGCATCCATTCGGCGGGCTTCCCACCTCCCCTCGACGGAGGGTAGCCGCAGTCTGCACAGCATATGAGCAAGGAATTCGGCAGCATCATTTTGCACAAATAACCGTGGCCATGGACTCATCATCATCACCCATGATAGGTTGTGACTTGGATCAAAGTTCTGAGGTTGGCGCTGGATAGCGCCCCAGAGGTGACACAATTGTCCAAGAGCAGCCTGATCGCGCGGTCGAAGGACTGCTAGCACATAAAGAATGGCATGCAAGGCACTATTCATATAGCATGTGGCAGCACTCGGATTTGCAAGGCTGATGGAATGCAAAGGAAATCCAAGGAGGAAGCATTGAGGAGCAGACCTCACCAGACCTGGGCCTGGATGCTCTGGGCTAGGCCCGAGTACCGATAGCGGTTCCGCCGGAGCCGGGCGGCAAGAAGGTGGAGCGCTGCACTGCCGATGAGATCGTTGAAAATAGTCCACAATTTGTCGCCTGGTCCGCGTAGCTGAACTTCCACCAGGAACTGCACCCAGTCCGTTTGATATGACTCGCGAAGTTGTCTCATGGACTTGAAGTTCTTGATAGAGTCTCCCGTGATCAGCTCCTCCATCTCCTGGATCATGGTCAAGATCTCTTCGGTGGACCTGGATTCCTGGCGCTCCGTCAGAACTAGTTCCTGCTTGATCGGGCACCAATGCATGTAGTTCCAATGCCCCAGGCTGTCCAACCACTGCAGGCGTTGTCCAGTGATCTTGGTCTCCTCGCTCTTCTGGAAGGCCTGAAGGCGGGTTTTCCACTCCCTGAGCAGACCCCGTATCATGATCTCCCGTAGTGACATCGTGAGCTTTGTCGGAGTGGTTTCCATCGTCTGTCTCCATTCCGTCGCGAGCTGCAGCATCATCGGTAGCACGGAGTACTCCTGGTTCGGTTTGAGATACAGGAAGAGTCGAGTGTCTTGTTGGAGGATATGAAGTTGCTGCTCGTGCCGTAATTGTCATTCGGGCAACCTGCATCAACAGGGTGCTTGAAGACTCCGCTGTGGTCAGGCTCGGCACGGACCATCCGCTCATGCTCCACGAGTCCGGATCGGTCCATGTATCCAGAGTCCAAGGATCCGTGCGATTTGTCACCTCGGTGGAGGACTGTGGACCCTTGCTCTTGCCTTTGCCCTTGCCCTTGCTCTTGCCTGCGTGCTTGCCCTGCCCCTTGACCTTGCCTTTGCCCTTGGGGATGGATGTCGGTGTGGCTGTCGATCGAGGAAGGGAGGCTTCGTCGGGCGCTGGAGTCATGACAGCATCCCTCTGTTCGGGTCGTGGGCGTTTCTGCGCAGCCTGGCCGCTCGTTGCCGTGTTGCTGAAGCTGTTGAAAAGGTGGCCAAACATCTCCAACTCCTGATTTTTGGCATTGATCGAAGCCTCCGGCTGTGGCGGGGGTGTTGCCGCCATGTTGCCCGTGGCTGGCAGGGTCATGACTCCTATGTTCAAGATAACAGGCAATAGTTATGACCGGACATCGCTTCCAGTGTTGTTGAAGATCGAAACGTGTGGCCAAGCAAAAGTGACAGGGCTTCGTAAGGGTACTTCTTAGCAGTCTCGCCCTCTTGAGAATGAAATCTTGCGAGGCAAGCCATTGTGGATGCTCGTGCATCAAATGGACTTTGAGACCGGCAGGAGAAGAGCACCACTGTGAGCACTCAGGGCAGTGGTGACGAACCTCATCACGTAGCTCAGGATCCTGCATAACGACCTGCCATCCCCGGGTGCGAATCCGCTGCATGAGTTCGACACGTTGCACCATTGGGACCACGGCAGCCGGACCAACTCGCTTTTGCCATTGTGGATTGTGGGCCTCAGCCTGGGTACCCGAACCAGGCTTATGCAGTCCGAGCTCAGCGACTGTGTCATCTCGCTGCTGAGGTGGATGGGTTAAGCCTGAGGTTGGGACCGATGCACCAGCGAGGCAAGCCTGGGGTGTAGGCTGTGCGATGTCTGGTGAGACGTCAGGCGGTGCAACAGTCTGCACCGTGGTGGTGAGTGCACTTGTGACACTTGCGGAGCAGTGGGCAAGGCATTAGCCGGACCTGTAGGGACAGGAGATTCGCAAGGCTCCGACCTCGTGGTTGGAGCAGAGGCAGAGGCTGTGTGGGACTTAGCAGGATTGATTTGCGGATCAAGCTTCGGGCACCATCCTTGTTCAATGTGAGCACGGAGACCAGTCCACCTGGAAAAGCGTTTCTGGCATAGCCGGCATATGGGAAGACCCGCTGTGGAATGTTGCAAGCGATCGAAGCTAACCTGATGCCTTCGTGTTGGGGCTTTGAGGCCATGAGCTGTGGACTGATGCATCCTGAATAGTCGATAGTTGTCAAAGACCGCTGAACAATCGGGACACGTGAAGGTGTGTGCAATGGGAGGTGCAGAAATGGATCCGGGGTATGTGGTAGAGTCAGCAAGTAAATGGTGCTGTTGCAACCAGTTCACGGTGTCTTGCTGTATCGCTCCTCCACATTGTAGCTGCTGCAAGTTGGCAAGTAGCCTGGCTTGAGACTGCTGCAGAACGTCGCGCATAGGTTTAACCTTGAGACGTTCGTAGAGCGCCTCAGTGGTTTCATGTGTGAGATGTGAGGGGGCTTTGGCGACTGCACGGAGCTGTCTGGTAGCGACAGCCTGTAGCTGATTGATTTGCTTTTCCGTCAAATTCAACACATGTAGGCCATAGGTTAAAACAGCGGGTATACAGGCTGCCCAGAGCTTGAGCCGGAGGCTCAATCTGGGGGCATTTGCACACGTGAGAAGTGGCCGAAGGTGTCCATATGCAGTCCAGGCGGCTTGTATACGATGTGTGATGGAGCTTGCCGCTGGCTGTTGATAGGAGATGATTAGGCCTAAGTATTTGTGCTCATCTTTCACTGGAATGTGGAATTGACGTCCTGCTGGTGTCCGTAGAGTCAGGAGTAGGCCCTCCTTTGTCTGCCGAACATGACGTCTTTTCCACGTTGCAGCAAAACCTTTGGTGAACCGCAACAAGAAGGCTGACTTCAGGGTATTGATGTTGAGTTCAGCATCCATCAGCACATCAAGCAGGTGTCCCAAATTGATAAGGAGTTTGTCAAGTTGTGCAGTGGTTGTAATCAACTCGCCACCATGGATATCATCCGCGAAAGCGGTGATCATAGCTCGGACCCAATGGTGATCTCCTATGCGGTCACCCAAGTCATGCAGCAGCACAATTGTGGCCATGCTCCACACTAATGGAGAGATTCTGCAGCCCTGCCGTAATCCGCGCCCTGCTGGGATTCTCGCCTTCATCCCCTGTATCGTCAGGTGGTAGGTGAGACCTTTGTGCCAACAGATCACCAACTCGCGGACTGATGTCGGGACTTTGGCTAGCCGTAATGCCCTATCAATCAAGGCCCAGGTAACACATCAAAAGCGTTCGATAGGTCCAAGCTCAGTTGTAGGCCTCCTCCTGATGCCAAGGGCTTGGCTGCAGGCGCGAAGCGAGAGTCAAGAATGTTGTAGGGTGCAGGGGTGCACATTTCAATGACCTTCTCACAATGTGCAAAGACGCGTGACAAAGCAGCGTCTGTGGATCTTCCTGGTGCATATGCGAACTGCGGTTCCGCTGCCAGGAGTTCGACCAAGTAAGGTCGCAGCTCTTTTTGGACCAGGCCGGCAGCAACACGTCCAGAAATTTCAGTGATGCCGAGTGGGCGCAGGTCCTTGGGTTTCATGGGATGTGTCACCTTCGGTAGCAAGCTCATCCAAGCATCGCGCCAGTCGGATGGCACCTGGTCAAGATGTGAAATTTTGTGATGTAGCCATGGTGCGAGCTCTCGAGCACATAAGACCCAGGAACTGCTTGTCGCCTTGCCTGGAGGCGCAGCCTTATGCGGCGGTAGCTTCAGCAAGCCTTCAAGAACATCGGTGACAGTAAAGTCGGGGAAGGAAATGGTGGGAGATGTCGTAGGTAGAGGCGGACCAGTAGAGGAGATCGTGGTGTCAGTGGTGTCCGGAGAGGCATACAGGGCCTCATAGTGTTGTCTCAAGCAATCCAGTTGTTGCTGGGGCGTCCAAAGCTCGCCCTGGGGCCCTCGCAGTTGAAGGCGCGGGCGCCGTTTCTGCGGAGAGAGACTGGCGGCAAGACGGAAGAGTGCCCTAACGTCTCCTTTGTCTGTGGCCTCTTGCATACTCTGTGTAAGTGCCTGCATCTGTGCCGTCTTGGCAGCCCGCGTGGCTCGCCTGAATTCGCGGTGTGCTCGCTTGAACTGACTATAGGCTCGCCAGGCAGAAAAGAGTCGTTGCCGGCCTGGTGGGGGGTGCTTCCAATCCTTGTAGGCGGCCCACATTTGTCGAACAGATAAAGAGACGGTGGGGTGCTGCCAGGCACCTGTCTTGGCGGTTGGCTTTGTAGAGGGGAAGAGTCGAGTGGACACATCATGCAGGTACTGATTGACTTCAGAGATGGTGCGACAGGGATTAGCAGCAAGCCAGTTCCGTACATCCTGTCGAAAGGCCTGTGCCCTTGGGTCCACATCTGAGCGACAGACCCTGAGGAGCTCCGCTTTATCGATAGAAGACTGGGGCTGAGTTCGCCTTGTAGTGTAATGTCTTGTAGGGACCGGGACGCTGAAGAGAACTGGCCAATGCCTGCCGCCACCTCGCCAACGCGCGAGGGGCCAGTCCACGGGACCAGCCTGTCGAGCTTCAGTGTCACTCTGGTCTTGCCGCAAAAATACATGATCAATGAGGGTGTTTCCCTGAGTTGACCGATACGTCGCCCTAGCTCGCCTGGTCCACGAATTGAGGTGTAACAGCCTGAGGTCTTGCACGACATCCATCATTTCTTTAGAGTCTGGCTGTGGTCTCTTCATGAAGGGAGCAGCTCTAGCACCAACCAGTCGTGCATTGGGTTGTAGGTTGGTATTAAAATCCCCAGCTACAATCCAAAGGCTCCGCCGTGGGAGGCTTCCAAGGAGCTGGCGCCAGGATCGCCAAACAGTACGTCGAAGTTGACGCGAGTCGTTGGTCTGCGGATCTTTGCCTCTGGTCAAGCTTGTGGCCCAAACTTTCTGATAAAGGTTGATCAGATCAAGCTGGCATGCAGAGCCTAGCTGGACGCGGGCGTGGAGTAGCCGACCTGAGATGGGTGAGGCCGTGAGGATGGAATTTGCATCGCAGAGATCGACAGAGATCAATATGGCAACACCACCGGATGCCGCAGGTTCGGCCGGTGTGGATACGACGTGCCACTGGTCAGTAGAGTAATCGGAAGGTGTTTTCCAATGCGTTTCTTGCAAGAAAATCACGTGAGGTCGGACAGTGGGGTGTTGTTCCGCAAGAAAGTGCATCAGTTCCGCATACGCATCCTGACTGAGTCCCCCAATGTTATACGTGACACACCGGAGGCGACAAGGGTCCACAAAGGAAGGAGCCTCGGATTGAGTGGGGGGGCATACTGACATTGGGGCAGGACTGCGGTGTAGAGCCTGCGCGCGAAGCGTATGCAAGGAGTGCCATCGACCCTTATAAAACGTGCCCTGCAGTGGGCTGGCTGTTGCTCGTTGAACTGCCCGATTATAGGCTCGCTTCCCCTGTGGGGTGGGTAAGGAAGATCGGGGTGTGGGAGAGCTTGCAGCGGCAACAGAATGTGCAGGGGTGGTCCATAGGTGGCATGCCAGAGCCAGCCGCCCAAAGATGCGAGTAAGGAATGGTAGTTGTTGGCTTGGTCTAGTTCGACTTGACAGGCATGCCGATGCACGGTGATGACAAGCAGGTATTCGGGAAGGCTCCTCGCTGGAGCAAAAAGAGGTCCTTAAGGCAGGGGTCGTTGCTACGACCGAGGCCTGTGCAGGTACAGGCTGCCTGGGACACTGAGGAAGAGCAGAGGTAGTGCAGCTAAAGTGGCGGCTTCGTGAAGCGGCACCAGATTGGGTTATCCCGAGCTTCCCTCCACTGTTATCTGGACAGTTAGTGTGACACGAGATCAGCTTGAACAGCAACAGTGAAGGTTCAGAGTGCGGTGGGTTCCAGCACTCAACCCTCGGCTCAGTGGAGGAGTCACAAAATTCATCCCTGAGAGTCCCATGATGGACAAGGTGTCGGCATATATCGGTGACTTTCAAGATAGAATCGTTAGCACCTCCATGCCCGGATTTGGGACCGGGCTCAGCGACTGAAGTAGTGTATATCGTTGGTGCGATGGGTCCATGAAGGAGGGAGAGACACAACAAGACAATGGATCGTGGTCTACACCCTGAGTGCAGACATGCTAAGGGTGCGGCAGCCATCGCACCGAGGCCACGGGACACGAAGTACGAGCCAACCTGAGATAATCGGTTGCCAAGAAGCCGAGCAGAATACCACAACTCCAAAAAGAGGCAAAGGTGTTGGAAGAAGCACTGACTCAAACTAAGCTTGCCAGCATATTGAGGAGAGCGTGGCCGGCGAGCTGACCTTGGCGTTCGAGTGGGAGATTTAATTCTCGAAACGCGCAATTGACGTCCGAAGCACATGCGGGCAAGGGAGGATATACAAAAGTATGTGCAGGGGCTCGCCATATAATCCTCCATCGCAACAGCACTGTCGGTTGTGTCAGGCACAGATGAGGCCGACGTCTGGGTCTGCATGGACCCAGCACTGGCCGAAATCGAATCCCCTGTGGCTGTGCCTCGCTTCGGGGTCTCAACAGGAGTCTCATCTAGGCCGATGTTCAGCCACTTGCTTCGTCGCTTTGGGCGACTTGCCGGGTCAGGCTTGTAGTCAGGGTCGTACACGTCGGCTGTCTGTGCAGGGCGCGGCTTGGGACCGATTTTGGATTTAGGTCCCCGCTTCTTCTTCGGTGGCTGTGTCGGTCCACGGGTGGTTGCATCGCCTTTACTCGTGGTGGTCTTCTTGGTCCGCTTCACCGTCTCCGGAGGGTGAGTCTGCCTCCTTTCATCCGAAGTAGAAGTTGTAGGCAGCGGTACCGTGGTGACCACGGTGTCCTGGACAGGAGGCTGAGTCTCTGGAGCCGTGGTGGTGATGACTTCCTGTGGGTCGGCACAGTCGGAGTTCAGTGTAGAGGGCGCCTTGGAGACTGAAGTCTGCGGAGGCGATGGTGGTGCAGAAGGCCCATGGGAAGACAGGCCTGCCGCGGCCGGTCTCTTCTTAGGCACTGGTTTCGGCAGTTGGTAGGGAATCCCAGCCGGGGTGATGCCCTCCGCAATCTCCTCGTTAGCCACTTGTGCCGGCCGTCGTCGAGGTAGAGGCGTGCGACCAAGTGGGTCCTCGGTCTTGGAGCCAGATGCCCCGGAGGCCTCGGTGGCTGGGGTTGAAGCAGTAAAGGTGGCATCAACCGGTGCCATCCCCGTTGCCATAGACGAGGCAGCAAGTGTCGTTGGCGGCGGCAGTGGTCTCACTGACCGAAGAACTAAGCTGCCAACCGTCATTTCGCTTGGGAACTCTCCGAGTTCATCTGAAAAGGAAGAGAGAGTGGATGGGGAGGATTCACTCTCTCCATCTGTGCAGAGCTCAACTCCTTGATGCTGCTTCTTGGCCGGCCTGCTGGCCTGCTTGGCTCTGCGACGAGGTCGGGTCGTGGTCTCTTCATGCGCGTTGCTGGGCTTCATAGAAGCGGGGCATGGATTGGCATCCAAAGGCTGTCCGGTTGCTTTTGTCATAATGGCTGCACATCCAAGTCCGGCGAATGAAGTCTCATGAGAGGAGGAGGGGCCAGCAGACTCCCGTAAGTATGGGCGCAGATACACCGTCGTGGGAGGAGGGTGTCGCGTTTTCCACCGGATGAATTTGAGTCGCTGAACCTCATTGGGTGTGAGTTGTGCTTCGGCACTCGGCGGCCCAAAGGGCTCTACCCAATACTCTCCACCAGCTGGTTGAGTTGGCAACCCGTATACACTGCTCGGATGGCGTGAGCTTTCCACTGCGACAGATGTCTCAGTGGTGGCAGCAGCTGGAGCCTCCCTGTCCGGGGAGATCGTCACGACTTCGGGCTCGAGTTCGATGTCCGTGTAGAGGCGATTCAGTTGACAGGGCCTCTTGCTTTGTCGCCGTCTCCTCCTCTCTTGTCTGTCCATGGAGTTGGGACTTCGCTGCACCAGTGGGGCGCAAGTGGGAAGGCTATGACCAGGCAGGGCAAGATCCTGCCATGGGCCCCATTGAGAGCCGGAAAAGGAAGACCTGGAGCGCGGGAGCATTGAGCCAACATCAACAAGGTAGTGTGGCTCAGTGAGTATGGTCAGGCTGCAACATGTATGCGGCATACGAAGCAGACGGCATCTTGAGAATCCGACCGATAGTGGCAGGTAAGGCCACCGTAATAGCCAGTGCTGGCCCCGCTCTTGGAGTGGACCTGAGGGATCAGAGCCAAAGGGAGGTGACCATAATCCGTGAGCATCGGCTGTGCTCGCGGAGGCAGGCCTGCTTTTTACCAGCACGGAGGGGTGCATAGTCCGTTCTAAGTGTATGGGCCCATCACCGCAGGGAGGTGAGACCTCGCATTCTAGCTGTAGGCTCGCGAGATCACTGCGATTGCTGATTAGAGGCAGTTGACGATACGGGGCGCATCGGGCTTCGGCTACGACTCGTTCGTGGAGGTGGCAATGTACCTTGGGCTGACACCTGGCTCGCTGCATCAGAACGGAGCTGATCTTGCCAGCGTCGATAAGCCTGCTCCGCGACTTGGGCCGCATAGAGGAGGTCTCCCTCAGTAGGGGAGTCGGAGCCGACATCCTCCTGTCGAGTTGCAGCCCCTGTGTCCTTGTCAGGATCAATGAACACGGGGAGAGCTGTAGTATCGGCACGTGACTCTCGGTTGGTCCCTGCCATGGTCGCACTCGGCTGTTCGGCCATGAACCGCAACTACAGGTTGCACCAGAAGCTACTGGGGCTGACTTCGGCAAGCACGGTGCTTTGAGGCCCACACGACTAGCGTAAAGAGATGTCCGTGCTCGCCATGTCACAGACTGCTGATATATTGGGGAACCGCACTGGCTAAGGGCAGTGAGAGACCAAGGTGCCGGCTTCCAAAGACCCGTTCGATACGGCGTGCCCACCTCGGAGGCTGGCTGATAGAGCATATCAGGAGACAGGACGTGGCAGGTTGCCATACACCGAGCAAGGAGTGCATCACAAGCATGACACTCAATAACTGGCGGCACTTTTTGCACCCAATGCATGGGGTAGAGAAAAGGAAGTCTCGGCCCACCAAAAGGGATGCGGTATAGTCGGCTGTTGCTCCTGCAGGAAGAAGAAGGGACTAGAAGTTTACAGCTACCATGTGGAGGATCCGTCATACGGATGCAACCGAATGGTGATGGCCAGAACCGTGCTGGGAGTCGCCGTTTCCAGCATCGAGACATCAATGGGTATCTCCAGGGTAACCTCTTGTCTGCCCTCGGAGCTAGTAAGAACTTGCCCCCGAACAGGCCTTGACGTTGCAGGAGGAACCTCCCAGAACATGGAGTGAGGGCGCAGAGGGCTGCGGCTGCGCGAACGCCGGTCGCCACTCCAGCTGTGTCTGGCACGCCGTACAGGACCAGGTGGTGTAGAACCGATGACCGCAGTCTCAGGTGTGCGTGGCACATGGATACCCGGCGTCCACGGGTGCCGGTGTCGGAGGGCCGGCCGGTGCTGTGGTCGGGGGTTCCACAAGGTCCGTGAGCGGAGCCCTATCATTGAGTTCCGAGGAGGAAGGATCCGAGTTGGCCATGGCACGCGCAGAGAGAGAAAGTTACCGCTCACAGCAATCCAGGATAGCTTCTGGAACACCTCCAGTCGAGCTTGGGCCCTAGCGTCAATATGGAGCTGGCATGAGGCACAGTGCCAGGCAGCACATAAGGTAGCTCCAGCTGGAGATAGAAGCTCTGGCTGCAATGAAACGGGCTGTGAGGCCCCGACGTGATACACTGGCCACAGGTGGAAGAGGTTGCAGCACCTATTGAAGGCAAGCGAGGCGTGAGCCCAGTGGGTGTACATCGTCCGCCCTGTTAAGGGCTGTGCACGTGGTAAGCCAATGGAAGACCTGAGAGCAGCACAAGATGCAGACTCAGAGCACAGATGACATGTACTCAACAGTGCAATGTCCCTGCAGGGTAGACCAGTGCTCTTTTCATAGGCAGCGGGATGAAGTCGGGTTGGTGACGGCAGGTAGAGGTCCCTGCAAAACGACCTCCCTGTATCCCGGGAAGAGAGAAAGGCCCTAGCCTCCACAGCTGCTATGTACTGCAAGAACGCTTGCCAAGAGAGATCAGCTAGATCACGGCGGTGGTGGTCGTGGCTTCTCCACCAGGGCACTGACACGCACGATGTACTGGATCCCTGGCGGGGGTATCGGCACCATAACTGGGGCGTTCTGCTGGGGTGACATGCTGCGAGCCGTAGCAGTGGAGACCCGTGGCACAGTAGAGGAAGGCCTAGCCACGGCATCCGCAACTGAGACTCCCATCTCCGCCGAGGCCCGTAAGGCTCGTCCTGGATCCGTCGTGAAGGAAGCAGGGATGGATCCTGTCGAAGTAGCTGGATCAGGTGGCGGGGGACCAGCAGGTCGCAAGTGGGAAGCGGAAGTTCCACCCAGCCTTGTAGGCAGATTGACGGGAGTGGGTGGTGGAGGTCCAGCGGGAAGGGAGGGCGCGGCTGGTCCACCGGAGCCGCTGGCTGGCTCGGGCTCAGAGTCTGGGGAAGGTGGAGACGAGGTCTCGCTAGATGATTCCTCCACTGCGGGGGCTGCTTTAGCCTTCGCTTTAGCCTTGCCACGACCTCGACTGCTTCCAGCTTCGGCCACTCGTCTCTTCGCCATTGCCCAGCACTCGGTTCAAGGGAGTGGGGTCGGCCGCAAAGGTCCCTACGCAGAGCCCAATGTGCTAGAGGTGTCTCAATGGAATGCGGCAGAGCAGGCTCAAGGGAGCGAAACACATGGCAGGTCGGACTAGTCCAAAGTAGCAGTGCAAAGGCTGAGCTGAGGACGGGAGTCCAAGCAGGTAATGCGGAATCAGAGTCAGAAGGACCTGGATGCATGGGGAGCCATCTAGCATCATTAGCATGCGAAGTAGATCGACCTTGTGCTAAGGGAGGAACGCCCGACGAGGAGACCTCAAGCCTTGGGCGGTGCAACGGAGATGCTGGTATCATGATCCAAGGCTTGGCATTACCAGGAGCTGAGCCCAGCACACCAGGCGAGGGAGCCTCAAACCTTGGTGGAGGGGGGCCAATGTGAGGCTGTCGCATCAGAGCTGGCAACCGGTCGTGAGGCCGCGGCTGAGGCAGGAAAGCTTCATCGTGCCAATCCAGCGTATTGAGCATGACGGGTCGAGGTACCACTGTCGGCACTTGCAACGGGCAGGCTATGGGCATGGTGCCACCGTCTGTAGGAGTAACCTTTACATTGGAGGATTCCATGTGATCGACCGCTGCTGTATAAGCCCCCTGGGTCGCATGCCAGAGAAACAAGCTCCGAGCAACGGATGGAATGGTGAGCCTGGGCCGGTCGCAATCAGCAATAGAGTACGTCTGAGCAAGCTGCCAGGGCTGACCTGATGTGCTTGGCATTGGCCCGTTGCCCTGGTGATTGACACATGCTAGGCAAAAGAGCGCACACAGATGTCCAAAAGCACGTCCCGGTCTAAGTCTGACGCCTGCCGTGTTGCACAAGTGCAGGCCGTGGATCTTGTTGCTCGGCAGGGTGGAGTAAAATTCGCCACTCAGTGTAAGTCGACGGACTTTCGCAGATGTAGCCGATACCATGGCGGGCAGGACACCCCTGAAGTCCAAAGAGACCCCCAAGCAACAAAAACCACCCCACACAAACACCCAACCAAGCACCACACCGCACCAAGCCCCGAAGGGGCTACCGACTCAGTTTGTTGAGTCGCAGTCGCTGCTGAGCCTTAGACATAAATACATACATACATGCATACATACATACAGTTGCGCATGTATCGTACACACACACACACACACACACATTTGAGAAAACATCTCTGCGTATGCATATTCACTTACATACAAATCTTGCTCTGGCATGTCCTCCCGAATCCAACAGGAATCGTGCCCGAGCTGGACCAGACACCCCGGCACGTTGTACAAAGAGAAATAGCCTGTGACTTCCAATGCCGCCACCCGGCAGTGCTGGCGAGTGGTATCCTCGAGCTAGGGTTTAGGGTTTAAGGCTCACGGCTCAGGAGAACAAGAGCTGAGTTTTAGAAGACTGGATAGGTATTGTAGGCGCAGTGTCCTCCGTCTCGGTCGTCCACATAGCCTGCGTGCCACAGTACAACACCAAATTACCATCTTCCTGGAGCGTCAGGAACGGTGTGTCATCTGTGCACTGGCCGCCGGTGTCCGTTTCCCACGTCTTGCGGTCGTAGATGTTGTAGATGGCAACATTTCCTGCACCGTAAGCCCTAAACCCTGTGCCCTAAACCCTAAACCCTAGATCCTAAAGCCTAAACCCTAAAACCCGTTTCCTGTCTCTTCCACGAGCAGCTTGTACTGGCGGTTGGGACTCTGAAGTGCTGGTTCTTCTCCAGCCTGTCTCCCGTAGTAAGGTTGCCTGCGAAACTCCAACTTCCAAGACCCCCGAAAGGATCCAAAAAGTAGATCCCTTAATGGGGGTTCCTATAAAGTACCCTGAGTAGTATAAGGCCCCATGTTAGGGGATCTACTTTCTAGATCCTCCCGGGGGTCTGGGTTCTCATGCTGCCACAACACTTGATTTAAAGCTCGTCAGAGCCAGGGGAGTAAACCACAAACCCCAAGCCCAGGTTGTTCGAGCAGATGATTCGGCCTTCGGGTCCTATACGTAAAATTCCAGAGGTTCTTATAGGCTCGGTGGCGTTGATGAGGGTTCTGCGGGACTATAAGGGCGTGTATCAAAGCCTGGCCAAACACCCCTAAAACCCTAAATCCTGAAACCAAGTCTAAACATGACCCAGGTACTGATGGCTGCAGATTCCGCAACCTGCCACAGATCCACCTCCACGAACTGGAAGGTCGCTTCCAGATAGCCTTGATTCCCCCGCAACCCTTTCAGCCTTTCATCCTATAAAGGAATATTGCCTTTATACTTCTTCACAATGCATTCTATCCTTTTCAGAATGATATTCTCGTTTACGAATCTTCTGTCACGTCAACAGCAGATCCGAAAAAAAACATCAGGGAGCTGATGTTGAACAGAGGAGCCGAAGTAGCCATCCATACTGCGTCCCAGCTTGGCGCCCACCATTTTATATGAGGCATCATCCGCGACAGTGGCAGTCATCCCCACCGGATTGGCGGCGACCTGGTCGTAATAGCCACCTGGGAGTTTCCGAAAATCTGGGGCTTCCGGATAATGGGGTCCTCATACTATGGATCCAACTAATTTAGGGTACTATATTAGGGTCCCCTATTTTCGGAAACTCCCACCTAGTATCCCCGTGGAGGTGCCGTCAGAAAAGTCCAGAGACATCTTCACCACTTCGCCCGAATGAGCGAATTCGGTGCTGGGTTTCCGGAAGTACATCGTTACGGCAGTGATGTACTTGTCCTGGGCTCTTGATAAGGAGTTTGGTGCAAGCTACCATAGCAAGTTCACCCGATTTTCAGAATTGATCCTTGTGATGGTAGCTTAGATGAAGTTCCTTTACAAGCACCAGGTCTCCGACAGATCGTAGGAATTCTCCTGCCCACCCGAGGAGGAACCACCCCGCGCCTCTCCTCCGTCTGAGAACTGCAGGCGAAAGGAATCCTCACTTCAAGAGGCTGTCAAAAACTCAGGGAGTCTCCGTCTGATACGGATCCTATCTTACAAGTATGCATTTTATGCGTGAGGGTTTGGTATTGATCACTGTCTTGCGTTCGCTCACCTCACCGAACTAATAGATATTGTTGACGCCTGCCCTTGACAGACGTCCAGTGATACCACACGCCCTCCACTCAACCTTTGCAAGCAAACTCGGTCCGCACTTTCTTCGTCAGAGATGTGCGACCACTTGTCTATGTACGGGAATGGCTCTGATCCTCTCGGTCGATAACAGGCTACTAGCTCTTGCTAGCACGGCAGTAAGTGTATGCTCTTTAGCATAGCCCACAATTAAGCCAAAGTTGCGTCGCGCGGGGCGTATAAGACTGGCACTGCAGCATGGCCCGGCTAGCGGTTCCATGCACAGGCGAGAATGAGACAAGGTCCGTTGACGGTGCCTTGCTCTATGTACATGAGATTTCATGACATTGTGATCATAGCTCTGATAGCGACACCCACGAATTGGACTAGGCATCGAGGTCCGTTCGCATTTTACATAGTACTCTATTTTGGATTATAGATTGTACTGTATATATATATATATATATAACTATACTATTATACTATTATACTGTTCAAACTTCGGAAACTCCAGTATCGAGGCGACTGCATAGTTCAAGAGGACTGCAGGGTCACAAGCCGGCAGGTCTCCTTAGGGCTTAGGGTTCAGGTCTTCTTAGGGTTTAGAGGTTTGGATATAGGACCCTGATTAAGAAACCTTGGGCCTTTATTAGGGCTCCTTGTATGAATCCTACTATATTGGGGGTTATAGGCCCAGAGTGTCTTAATCAGTTTCCTACATTAGAGGGTTAGGGTTTGTTGCAAAAACGACCGGGGTTTGCCAGCACGACCCAGCCCCGCCTGCTTTCGGTTCTGTTGTTGCTTGTACAAGAAACCCCGGTTCTGGCTTTGCTTGTAAAAGAAACCCTGCGATGCCTTTACGAAGATCCACTTCACAAACGAGGGCAGCTACGAATTCAAGATTACAGTGAGCCGACCGGAGCAGGAATGAAAAAGGTACTGTGCAAAGGAGACTCAATCACGTTCTTTCCCCACACACTTGTCGTGGTGATGTCACCGATCTTCCCGTCTCCGTTGGCATACCTTCGATTTTGAAACAATGCGGCTAAGATTCAATCAAAGACTGGCTTAGACTCTTCAGAGAGCGGATGACACACATTGGAACCCAGATGCCAATTTGTCTCCTCATCGTACCGCACCTGGCTATCGTCCTCAGTGTCTTGGGTCACCGCCGCGTATGGCCCCACGGAAATCTGCTCCACAGCAGGCAGGACTTGAACTTTGGCAGACTCCATGCCGGGAATGTACCGCTGCAAGTACATGATCGGCTGCAGCGCCTTCGCCATGTAGCCGCATGCCTCATTCAAGACTCGGGACACAGTCATCTCTGCAATAGTGTCACAGATGTCGTCGTCGTTGAGCCAATAAAGGCTGTGCCTGCGTTCCCCTGTGGCCCCTTGATTCAGGATTCCCTTTTCCTACTAATCAATCTTGGGAGGACCTCCAGACCAGAAACAAACTAAACATGATACTCCTGGCAAGCCAGGTGCTTATTGTTGGTCAAGTCATCCGTCATGGTCATGTAACAGCCAGTGCAGCACCTCCGGCGACTTCCTTTGTGGGAAGTCGACGTCTCGATTTTGGTCTTTCTCCAGTCTTTCCACAGGCCATAGGTGAAATTGAAGAAGGACCTGATTACGGAATGCTTGTAGGGTTTGGGTGTATTTTCGGTAGTTTTTTTGAAATCTGTTGTGGTATTAAGCAATAATTCCACTAAGGCTTAAGAGAACCATAAGGAAAATTCAAGAGCGTTGCTCACTGTGCCACATGGTGTCTGGTAGTACGACACAGCTGCTTGCAATGCATAGTCCCAACTCGGGTCTTGGATACCATAGAGAGTTTTGCCATTCGTGATCCTCTCCTTCAGGGTGCCCAAACAAGGCATCTAAGCATAAACTGTCGAGTCCTACCTTCCAGTGCAGATATTACCTCAAAAGCCTGTGTTTAGGTACGTGTCGTTGGCCCCCTCTCCTTGAGGATCGAGCAGTGGATGGTTGCAGCAACGATCGTAAGCGGAAGCAGCTGGTACTTGTTTGTTGAGATGGTGAGATGGGCAATCCTAGGCTGGCCCTTGAAAGCCTTTGGGTTCAGGGTTTAGGCCTTGTACCAGGCTGTCTTGGGTCCGATAAAGGAGAGTGCAGAAGATGCCTATCTATAGAAACCCCCCTAGGTGTCTATCAGCCCCTTATCCATGACTGACCCCCAGAATCACATCTAGAATATTGTGTTGAGGTGCAATGTAATACAACTTTTCAGGGGTTACAACAGAGGGTGAGAAAATTCATGCTCATTCAGACCCCCATTTAACCTCGAGCCTCTGAAACCCTAAACCCTGTCCAACCCTTGCAGAACGCCGTAAAGGAACCCTCACAGAACCCCTTTATCACCAAGAACTACACTGCTCGTAATACCCAGTATCAAATCTTCGACCTTGGCCAATGCCACAGTGAGGTCGTTGCCCTTCTCGGTATCCGTGTTGGCCCTTGTGTAGCGGGTCATATCCCGTCTCAATCCTCAGTCGATTTTCCAAAGCTGCCCTAAACCCGGAGCGTACTATCAATCGTTCAGACCTCCATATTGAACTCTACTCGCTTGATGCCTACAACCCTTCTTAAACCCTATTCCCTAAACCCTAAACCCTTAAGACCCCTAAACCCTCAAGGCCCCAAACCCCTAACTAGGTTGTCCCTTTAAAGGCTTTGAAGAATACTCGTAAATAGGGTCCTATTAGGCCCAATAGAAGAAGAAAACATAAAATGTCCCAAAGCTCTACGTAACTAAACCCCCCAATGAAATCCTCCGGCACTCAGAAAAAATCGCTGCCTCGCCACCCAAGAAATCGCCCTGCCGTTCATTCAGCTCCTTCTCCAGGATCGCCACATCGACCAACTCCTGGGCATCAACCCCTTAAGGATCCCTGAAGGAACCTGTTAAGGGAACCCTACTAAGGAAACCCTTAAAGGAACCCGGAACTCTTGCCGGATTTACGGTTTTCGGGTTTAGGCATTAGGGTTTAGGCTTCGAGCTTAGAGCTTGCACACTGGGTTTTATGGGGCACTCTGGTCTATTATGGTGATACAAATGTTTTTCATGGGGTGCTATGAGCATTTTTGGTGTTGTACAAGGCTTTCATGTAGCTTCCTGCTCTTTTTTGCGAAGCTTCATCGGATTCCACTGAGGTTTATGGTCTTTATCGGACTCTGTCGAGTTTATAGGGGCTTTAGAGGCTATCTTCATGGTTTCTTGATGCGTGGTGGATATTCGGGGTAAGCAACTTGTTCTCAAGTTGCCATAAGTTGCTATCGGTGTCATAAGGACTTCTTAGGGGTTGGTTGAGATTCAAGGAACTTAATATCAGCTGCCATAACTGGGCCATAACAGGAAACGATTGCTTAACAAGAGCCCAAAAACCCCGGACAAACAAAACCCTAAACCCCAAAACCCTGAACCCTAAAATCCTAAATCCCATAAATCCCCAAAGCGCAAAATCCGGAGAACCCAGGATCCTTGACCTCGCCGATGATAAGCGCCCAGATATCATACTCGGTGTCGGTGGATGGCCAGACCAAACTGAGAACGCTCGACAGTACCCCGCCAACCTGGGATGATCTGAAACTACAAGGGTCTAGGGTTCAGGGTCTAGGGGCTTCTTATCAGAAAACCACGTTGTGTACTCCTTCTTATAGCTCTACAGGGGCTTGCATGGGCCTGTTGTAGGGTGTGGAAACATGAACTAAGGATGCTCTCTAGGCTTGGGAATTTGGGGCTCTCGGCTGAGAGCCCCCCGAATCAAATGTCACCCCTGAACCTCTGCCACCTCCATCATCCCAGCAGCGACAGGGATCTCGTCCACCGCAGTTAGCACCACCGCTTCACCGATCTTCTCTAGTCTTGTCAGCCAGCTTCCGTCTTCCTGAAGGCTTCAGTTGTTGCCTCTGTGCTGGGGCAGAACATTTACCCAAGAAACACTGTTTACAGCTGTCCTCGTCCAAGATGATTGTATCATTGGCAATTTTGGCATACTCCGACGTCACCTATCAGCGCGACCGTCTGCAGGAGTGTCTGTGTCGGGGTTTAGCCGGCGTGCAGAAAGAGGGACAGGCCAGAATTTTCTGCGAATTCAGCATTCGGGTCTCTACGATGGCTACGCAGCGGTGTCCAGAATTCTAATAGCGCATGTCAACCCCTCCAAACCCTGAACCCTGAACCCTAAACCCTAAACCCTAAACCCCTAAACCCTATACCCCTAAACCGTAAACCCCTAAACCCCTAAACCCTAAACCCTGAACCCTATACCCTCTACCCCTAAACCCCAAACCCTAAACCCTAAACCCTACACCGTCAACCCTCCAAACCCTGCCTGGCCAGATACATATGACAGCACCGCAGCCACGTCCGCTCCCACGTTGGAAGGCGCTTGATGACGCAGCGACTCCTTCAAAGGGGAATAGGAGGGACCCCTATAGGAATTCAGGAGTATACCTTAAATTTATGGCAGGATCCCTGATATGATCTAAGGTATATTCCCAAATTAAGGGATATTGGGGTCTTATCAAAGGGGAATAGGAGGGACCCTTACTGGGGACCTTTAAAGGGATCTATAGGGATTCTATAAGGGATAGGGTTTAAGGTTTAAGGGTTTGGGGGTTTAGAGGGTTTAGGGGAATAGGAGGGACCCTTATTGGGGACCCCTGGGTCCCTACAATGGGCTATATACTGGGTATATAATAGCTATATTAAGGGTATATACCCGATGACGCAGCGACTCCTTCAATGCACGACTTGACGGCGTAATTGCTTGACTCTGAGACTCGGAACCCCCCGAAAAGACTCTTCAAGTTTTGGGTCTAGGGTTTAGGGAAGTGCTTCTATAAGCACAACCTTGAGAAAAACTCTTAGGGTTTATAGGGTTTAGGGTTTCGAGCTTCGGGGTAGAGTGTAGGGCTCAAGATTTTGCTTGAGCTCCTCAGCCCGACGCTTCAGACGCGAACCACACGTGCAATTCTCCCCTTCGTTCCAAAACAAACCCTCAACCCTAAACCTTCAACCCCTAAACCATATACCCCTCCTTAGAACCACAAAAAAATAGTATTCTTAATATTCTCTTGGGTGTTATATGAACAAAAACTAAAAACTGATTTGTAAGGAGACCATAGAACCCTACACCCGCCTGCAGTACCTGCAGCGCCGCAATATCGATGTTCGAGGAGCACACGCAGGAAGAAGTCGCCATGTTCAGCTCCACCTGGAATCTGCTGAAGATTGAGGGATTCGGAGCTTCGTCCGACCCTCCGAATCCCTATGCCCAAACCGGAAAATCCCTAAACCCTGAACCCGAATCTCTTCAGCCCTGAACCCGAAACACGAGACCCTGAACCCGAAGAGCACTTCAACCCCAAACGCCAAACACCAAATCTTGGCTTCTGAGCCCGCACATTTCCGCCAGGCGCCTTTCGCCCCATTTGTAGGAGCAAAGGTTGCTCTCCCGTCGCTAGGCAAGCCTGGTGACGGCAGCAGGCATCTTGATGGAAAACAGGTCTGCGCTTTGCATTCAATGCAACACCGGATAGTGGTGTTGAAATTTAGCTTTCGCATGTTACTCTTCTCATTGCTCTTCTTGCGGCGGTTGCTCCCGCTGCTGTGGGCTATTCCTGGTTTGATGAGCAGCGGCAACTATGGCTGACACTACGGGAAAACGATGCCGGAGGTCTAGGTTGATGAGTGACCGAACTGCACAGACCCTGCACTTCCCATACCCTAAACCGTAAACCCTACACCAACAAACAGCATTGCGAAGATTTGCCCAGTGTCCTCGGTCTGAGCCATCTGACTTGCAGCTCGGAACTGGAGCAGGGCAAACACAGCCAAGAAACATGCCATGGCCCTCTGTACAAGCCCCTGGGGCCGCGTGGAACCCGCTACAGCCTGTCCTTCTGTTGACTTCCTGGTTTCCAAGCATAGAATCGGTGAGCTGAACGCCCTAAATCTGCTTGATTGTGTGAAATGCCTGTGTTCGACCCGCAACCCTAAACAGTATATAAGCCCTGCACTTCGTCGCCGAAGCCTTGCACATCCTGAAACCCGCGAAGTCTAGTCGAACAGAGGGATCCACGCGGCAGCTGAACTACGTCTGAGCCCAGCTGATGCATGTCGTGATTTTCTCGGCTTTGTGCTTCAGGATCTACCCTACACCTTAAGACCCTACGGCCAAATAGGCGTTGAAATCTTAGGGTTCAGAAGTGTGAGCTTGCTCCCTTTGGGGGCCTCCATCTCATTTCGGGCCCTATCTGATAGTGGTCGGGGCGAATAGGTGAACCTGCAGAGGAAACCCTTACAGGCTCTCTTATGGGAAAACGACCAGGAACCCCTGCTAGATGTGGAGCACTTGAAGAAATCTTGCCTCTACCCTAAACCCGAAACCCTAAACCCCAAACCCTAACCCTTCTAAACCTTAAACCCCTAACCCTAAACCCCTAACCCTAAGCCCCTAACCCTAAACCCTCAGCCCCAAACCCCAAACCCTAAACCCAATAGGAAAACTCTGGGGCCTAGGCGCATGTGTATAAGGGCCTTCATACTTAAATAGGGTAGACGGCGACTTGAGGGTTCTAGGGTTCAGGGCTTGGGGCTACAACCTCTGCTTCCGCAAGAACAACACATCACTGCGTCAGTAACCGGGCTTCTAGGGGTTCATGGTATTGTGCACTTCACAAGTCCTTGCTTGATCCTCCCTAGACCCCAAACCCGAAACGCTCCTCCATCTTTCCCTGAGACCTTGCACGCTTGCACTGCTTCCCTGCCAAGGCTAACACCTCACAACGACGGCAGCTAATTCTCAAACTAATTTTGTGGTTTAGGGGGGTCCTTTATCAGATCCTTTAAGGGCCCCTAAACCCTAAACCCTAAACCGGTCCTTGAAGGGTTCTTTAAGGGTTCCTTTAGAGGGTTTCGGGGCTCGCCCGGCCTTCGGCATCTTTGGAAACTGCGGCGAGGAGGCCCTAGAAAGCGCTAAGATCCCTTCGGGTCTCCGTCACAGCTCGCTGCGGCGCTGCGCTGGCCTGGCATGGATGAATAGGGGCGGCGGGTTCATCCTTTAGGATTCCTTCAAAGGGGTCGATAGGGGTTACTATAAGGGTGCCCATAAGGGCTACTTTAGGAGTTGCGGGCTTGCAGGGATTTCGGGCTTTGTGGTTTAGGGCTTCGGGGTTTTGTGGTTTTGGGGCTTATAGGGTTTGGGTCTTAGGGTCTTGCGGCTTAAGGTTTAGGGCTCCGGGTTCGGGATTGCAAAGTCACCAAAGTGTCGGCTAGCGTACTGAACCGTTAGTCTCAAAACAGTATATCCACCCTCAACTCCCGAATGGTTCTAGAGGGAGAACTTCATATCCATCAACACAACGCAAACACGCGAGCAGGGAGGTGGAACGGGTTAGGGCTAGGGTTTTCGGGAGAACCTCCAGTGCATCCTCTTTCAATTTAACCGGCGCCCGACACCCTAAACCCTAAACCTACTGCACGCTTCTCAACTGGCTTGCAAGACATGAGCAGGGTCCAGTACCTGCATACGAGATACGAGTATTGCTAAGGTGCGATAGGAGTTCTATACGGGATGCTGCTACAACTGCTACTATGATGTACTACGTGGTCGCTCTACGGATTACTATAGGGGCTACTTGTGCAACAAGGGTTGCTATGAGGGTTCTACAAGCGCTTCTTATCGGTCCGTGTTGCTGCACCATGTGGCTGCTATGCTTCTCTTCTTGATGTCCCGAGCCCACGAGGTTCCACGGGAAGAACTTCGGATGGTTAATGTAAAGGCCTTAAATAGAATAGGTTTTGGGGGCTCCTTATTCTAACTAGGGTATACTACGGCGACACTGCGACAATTCTAAGCACGACTTCCGAAAACGAGATTGCCCTTAAGGCCACAGCCCTTAACCTGCTACTACAGCCCTGAACCTAAACTCCTAAACCCTAAAACCCCCCATTCCCTAAACCCTATAAACCCTAATCCATAGAACCCTAAACCCGAAACCCTAAACCCCTAAAATTAAAACTTTAAACCCTAAAACCCCTTTAAAAAAAACAAAAACATAAAACCCTAAACCCAGAAGCGCAGCCTGAAAGCTAGAGATCCCCACACCTCCGGCCCTGCACCACGTAGAGCGGATCGCCCCGGCCGATGCTCAGCTCCTACAAAGTTCGGTCCCCTTTAGGGTTTGGAGCCTTAGGGTCGTAGGGGGTTCAGGGTTCTTTTTTTGAACGCCTTTTTTCCATCTGCCTACAAATAGGTGTCCGGAATCTGCATTGCAGAAGGCCTTTGACCCTCTAGTCCTCAGCTGCCTCTTCACCTTCACGAGTGTTCTCTGACTTTGGGTTCTGGTTTGGTCCGGCATCCCTTCCATCTTCTCCCTGTGCCTGCGATTCTTCTGGTGGTGGCTGAAGGTTTTCTGCATTCACAAGCTGCACCTGATCCACCTCGTCCCCGCAAAGTTGTAGAAGGTCATCAACATCCCATTCCACCATGGTAGATAGTTGGTGCCGGCAGCGTTGAACTCCTTCATCCCGCATTCCACGGAACATGCAAAGCCAGGCCGAGCCGGGTTTAGGGTTTAAGTTTTAAGGTCTGGGGTTTAGGGCGTTGGGTTTTTACGGGGCTTCAGGGCGTTGGGTTTTTAGGGCTTCAGGGCTTTAGGGTTCAGGTTTTGGGGTTGGGGCTTCGGGGTTAGGAGGTGTAAGGGGATTCGGGAGTCGTTACGAACTTACGGGGCTTCGTGCATCACAGTTTGAGTAGTAGGGTTTCGGGGTTCGGGGTGCAAGAGTATG